TCCTGCTGATACAGGCATTCAGAAGTTTTGGTGCCCAGCTTGAAGCTCTTACTATTTGGCTTTGAAAATATGACTTCTGTGTCTTTTGTGGCACTCTGGCTTTGACTGTTCAGTTCACAAAGTCCATGTGTGTGAGAGCAGTGTATTTCTAGTGCATTTATTATGTGGAGTTTTCTATTTTGTTTTTTTTGTTTAACTCTGGCTTAGGAACAATAGTTTTTTAACTTTACAGTATCTCATGTAATGATGCATGCTTCAACCTGCCTGGAATGTGGCTTCCCATCCATGTGGAGTGATTCATTTTTCACAAATGTTGGGGCAGAGCGCTACATCAGAAAGTATAATGCATTGAAATCTATGAATAAACGTCTGTCTAGAATCTAAAAATTCTGTGCTGCCATGCCTTGTTTGGTCCAGAAGGTGCATAAAAGTCACAGCTCTTAACAAGATTTGATTAGGATTGCTCAAAACCTGTTAACAAAAGGTCGAGCTCTGGCACTGCTTAAGGAGGTTAGTGATCACTGAACAAAAAAGGGATAAAACATCTTCATTCTTCGTCTCCCTTTCCATACACACAATCATTTCAAGTACAGGGATTGAATTAAGTCTTTGAAAATAACCAGAAACCCTGTACAGTGCAAGTTGAATTTCAGGTATGCTTTGATTATCTTTAGGTTCCTGGGTGGAAATTCCGTATTCTGTTACTGTTTTAAAGAGAGAGCCTGGAAACTTGTGAGCATTTGGTTTTGTCTTGGATATGTCAACAAGAACTGATACAAATACTCCAGCTCTGATTGTACAGCCTTAAGAAAACTAGCTAATTGAGTCGTGTGAGAGTTTTAGGTAATAGTGTCATGTGGTAGCATAATTGTCTTGCCTACTTGGCAGTATACTTAGATGAAGCAAGTTTGAGATTAGCTAAGCGACTTATTTTAGCATTTCTTGCAATAACTTGTTAGGAAGATGGCCTTTTATTTAAGACAGCCGGAACTGCTTGCAGAGTTCAAGCCTTCTCTGATGCCCTGTAGAAATGTAAATAGAAGCAGAAGTGAGATAATGGTCAGAGTATCTACAATTGGAGAAAATGCCATCTGGTGACAGATTAGAGGGGGAAACAAAAAAGTTTGGGCTGGCTGGATTCAGTCACCAGCTAAACAAATAGAGCTGAGTTCTGGCAGGGTCAGTCTCAAATGCAGATGTCCCAGAAGTACAAGAACTGCCTTTTTAAGCCTAAGGCTACTCTGTTAGACTTTGTTCCTGTGCAGAAAATGTATTTGTTATTAGAAAATGTGTTTGTTATTAACAAAACTACTTGCAATCTTCAACTTTACTCTTCTGAAGACTTCATAGTCTTAGCATTGTGATAGTTAGTCATTCAGGTTTTGAATCAAGTTTGTTCAGGAATTGATGCTTTGAAGCAGAAACTAAATAAGATTACAGTTTGCTGGGATTGTTTGTTTGAATTGACTCAGTAAGGTTAAAGGGAGAATTCTGTCTTTAGATTGTTCAGTTCATGGGCACGGCCGATCTCACTTGTTTCCTCTGTCTTTTCCCAGTTCACTGCTCCGCTATGGTGGAAACCTCTCCCTTCAGAGTGCCATGAGCGTCCGGTTCAACAGCAATGGAACCCAGCTGCTGGCACTGCGCAGGCGCCTTCCCCCCGTCCTCTATGACATCCACTGCCGGCTGCCTGTCTTCCAGTTTGACAACCAAGGGTACTTCAACTCATGTACTATGAAGAGCTGCTGTTTTGCAGGTGATCGTGATCAGGTAATAAGCAAGCAATGCTATCCTGAGTCTGCAGAGTTTGCATGAGTGTTTGAAAACACCTCTGTAGGGTTGGGTTTTTTTTTTCTGATTGAGGAGATAAAATAGGAGGCAGGACACATGTAGGCTTTACCTCAGGCCTGTTTTGCATTGTAGGCTCTGAAAGAAGAAAAACATATACCAAAGCATGTGATAAATTTTACCTTGTTTGATGTGATCTAATACTTACTTGGAAGGTGATATTCAAAAGAAAAATATTTGCAGAGGCTTTTTAGGTCCAATTAATACTATTTTAGAGCCATAAGTAAACCATATTACCTACATATGATAAAGAAGCATTTTCCTTTTATTTCAGTATTCCTACTGAGTGCAGTAGAGGCATTCTCACAAACTATAAATATTGTGCATTTACAGAGTTACTGATTCTTACTTGAAATTATAGTGTTTCTCCTTTAATACTGTACTACTGGATCTGATTATAGGTCTTTATAGTTCAGTGTTTTTTAAGTGATGATGGCAGGTGGTTAGGAAGAAATAGTTTGTTCACTGAGGCAGGACTCTGTCCCTACTTCTAATCACAAAGAAATAGGTCACACATAAAGTGACTAACAGCAGTTTATATGATTCTAGAGCTGGATATTGTCTTTGGACAGCTGTATTTAATAACCACTAATACTGTTTAAGGACAAAAAAGGTATTTTCAAGCCATGATAGTACAGAAATAAGATCTGAAAATTTCTTTGCTGTCATCAATAAAATTCCTGCAGTCAGAATTTTGTCATTAATTCTGTTGCTGCTGCTGCAGGAGGCAGAGTTGAGCTTCTTTCAGATTGCAAGCAGGAAATACATTTACGTCACTGAACTTAAGCAGCGTTTCTGAGTTTTACAAAGTTTTTGGCAGAAGGAGTGTGAAAATGCAATAATGAAACCATCTTAAAAAAATAGAGTGGCTTACTATAAAGAATAGGCAAACATGCATTGTTTAAGAAGAAAACTGCTGGTGATTTGTTGTCCATTATTTAGTCAGCCTAAAGATGACACTCTTCTCCTCTGGAATCCAAAGCAGACCTGTGTACACTCTGACATATAGTTTAGCTTCTCATCTGTTACTGAAGATCTAGATAAAAGCATTAGTGTCTGTTGTGCTTTCTAAGCCATTTTCTTAGAGTATGGTGTTATTTTAATGGGAATAATATGGTGGTTCTGTATGAGGTTGATGTGGTATTTGAGAAGCCTGCGTTTTTTAAAAACTTGATGTTCTTTTGGCTTGATGGACTTTCTGTTCAGATAAGTAGCAGCACATAATGCTACTAACCAATCGGAAATCAGAGTGAAATACATTTATATTCCCTTATAAATGCTATAAGAAGCTAATAGGGAAGATAAAGTTTAATATGGAATATTATAGAGATGTGGCATTTGATGTTTAGATACCTGCTTGTACCCATCCTCTAGCTGCAATGAAAAAAGATAATGAAGTCGCAGAAAATGCCAATAGGTAGTCCAATGGTATATGTCTGAAGCTGTCTAGTAAAAATTCAGCTGACTAAGGCTGTCAACACTATGCATAGTCCTTAGGCACTGCATTTTACAGAGAACCCAATTTCAGTTCAAGGTGTGTCTAGAAAAGAAGGTTAGAGTTGGAACTTATTGCAAGATATACAAGATGAATAAAAGAAATTTACAGTGTTTTGAGTTTTGCCCTTCTATACAGCTAGTATGTTTTTGCTTTTTGGTGAGTATGAAATAATACATACAAGACTCCCCCTGCAAATCAGAATTCACCAAAAAAAAAAAAGTTTCCAACTTAATCTACACTACACTACACTTGAGGTAAATCCCTCCCCACTGTAAGGGCA